GCACTGCGCCTAGGGCCTACGAAAATGTGTGGCTACGATTTTTTTTTTGTAGTACGCACAAATCGGTAGAAAAAAATTTTTTTTTTCACGATTTTTAACAATTTTTATTATTTATGTTTTGGATTATAATGAATTCCCATAACATTTGTTAAAGCTTTTATCGTGCAAAAATCTATGGTTATCATATAAAAGTTTAGATTTGATTTTTATGTTGTAAAAATGATTGTTTTTAAAAGCTTAACACTGCATGAGATCCAATACTTCCTCTCCCAAAGAGAAGGTTTCTTAATCATTTAACTACTGGACAACGGCCCTGCAAGGACTAGAGGCCTAGGGCCTATGATAGTGTTAATCCGGGCCTGAGTCTAACCAGCCGGCAAACACGACTACCGTCGTACGGACCGAGTTCGACGGTGGTCCGTGAACAACGCAACCGTAATCGTAGGCACGGCGGATGCCGGGTGTGCCCGGTCACCTACCGAAATGTTCTACACGGTGCCCTGCAATTTAAGTCTCGGTCCATGAGGGGCCCATATTTTAACCGATTTGGCTCGCGTTAAATGTAATTCATTCTAAATCGTTTGGTAAAAAGCAAACGATGTTTGCAACAGAAACAATAAAACAAAATGTCCTAAGTTTTCGTGCAAACACATTTTGTGATAATATAACGGCTACAGTTACAAATCATAAATAGATTAAGTTGTCCGAGAAAAGTATACGAGAAAACATGTTCGTCGGGACTAATATACCGCAATATAAAATTAAATTTATGTTTATTTCGTTATTTATACGTTTTGATTTATTAATTATATCTACGCGTATTGTTAAGATAGGGCCCAAAAGTGTTGTACGCACCCCTTGACATACTGGTCCGTGCACGCCTGTGGCCGTAATATATGCGCGCCGCGGCGCACGCACGATGCACGAAACGCGATCGCACGTCATTAATATATTACGCTCGTTTTCGAAAAAACGATATTTTGGTAACTCGTCCGGATCAATATGTATGCAAACACGGTATCCACATTACTATTGAGGTTTTATTCCCGGGACATAAGCAGTTCCATATGTATTACAATTACGCGAACGTTACATGTTACGAAATAATGTCGCAGGGGAACATCGCCGAAATATTCCATTGCACAATGGCTATTATAATCGCAACTGGGCCCGTCCACGATCTCGACTGATTTATTAAAATCAACAACGACCTTCTAGGTGTTTACGATTATACGAAATGTATAATACGTATTTTGTCCGCAAACGTTTTTCGCCTTGTACCGAAATCGACGTCAAAGTTGTACATACTTAGGTAAATAATTCGTTATGTTTTTAAATGTGCTTATAATGTTAGATCGGCTACAAAACGGCACGCAATATACATAGGTTACGTAGGTATACTGATGTGTTAAAAAAATTCGTCCGGAAATCATTTTTTGTGCCATAGAACTACAGTTGATTTGTGTTTTATGGGCAAGGATTATTGGGCGGACTATTTTTACCTGGATAATATCCTTCATATCATTCGTAACACGTCCAGGAGTAATACCTTGCAGCTCACTTGCTCGAGCTGCGCGAGGTGCCGCAACCAATTATTACTATTATTATTATAGACTATCCGCGATGAATCTTATGCAAAACGATCAACGCGATCGGTTTGCCCCAACCCGTTTCGGTCTCTGTAATATTCTCACGTCGCCTCTCATCATCCGAACCGAAACGTTTTCTAGAACCAAAAAAACAACCTGGATGGTAATCCTTTTGTTGCGTCTTACAGCTCGGGTCGACGCGTGTACACGTCGTGCGGCGGTCGTGCGACGACGCGATTCTCTCCCGTCGAAATCCAGCCGAACGGATACGCGCGCACCTACGAGGGTATGAAATAATATTTAAAATATACCGCGTTCGCGCAGCACACCCGCGTATGTTTTATTACACCCGACGGTCAAGACGGGCACCAGGTGTGCTTACCGATACATAGGCGTACATAAATCTGCGCACCTCAACCGCAACAGTCGCGATTGTTATACGCGTTCCGCGTGCAGGAGATAACTGGTATCGATACGAAACACGTGCACGTACACGTCCATACGTGTACATATTTACGTGTACGTACCAGATGCGTGTTCTACGATCGCGAGTTCTTTTATTATTATTATTATTATTATTTACATTTATTTTATTACGTTTACGTTTTATATTTTATTTTAATTCTTTTTTTTTTTTTTTTTTTTGCACTCGCCTCGTCTTCCGTGCGGAGGCACGTGGGAGGGTAACAGAACACAAAATGGCCGAGGCAACTCCTCCTCGTGGCCGACACGCGAGAAAAGCGGTTTTCTAGCGCTGCGCCCGAACCGGGCATCACGACTGTGCGCGCGCGATCACTTGCGGGCGACCGGATGAAACGCGACGATTGCGGTCGTCGCGCACGATTTCCTCGGGGGCAGCTACGTATATTTTAGCGTACCGTGTACGGAAAACGCGGCGTTCCCACCGAAACACACGAACCGGGTTCAAACCTGTCTAAAAAAATATCACGATGGCGCGCCTACGAGGCACTCAGAAGTGTTGGATTTCGTAGACGGCGTTTCAGACGGGACGGAATCGTATCGATACACTGAACGGGGAAGCCATTAGGTGTGACATTCGAAGAGTCCGCTATTAACCATCGGCGATTTCGACTCCGTACAGTCCTCGGACGTAGTATTGAAATCGGTACCTACGACGAAGTGTTACAGTATTATGTTCCGACTGTTGTTGCAGCAACGTGCTCAAAAACTTAGCCACAAATCCGTACGCGATGCGTACGGGAAAAAGGGTCGGTGGACTGATTACCGATAGTCAGCATTACACGGGGCTGACGTTAATCCTTACATCATCAATTAAGATCTAATATATGTTCTGGGCTTGTCTAATCTGTTGTAGGTAATTGCTCGACTGACGGTACAAAACATCGTCAACTCAAAATTAACGATGGATAAGTTTGGAAAAAGTTAACTTAAACTACTAATGTTTCGGATTTTTAAAGGCCATTGAGGCTCATTATCGCATTACAAACCTTCTTTCACTCGTCACTATACCGCGCTTCTGTTTTTTCATCTCGTATTCCGATTTCTGCTAAATTCTTTTACACTTGGTCCATAAAAGTTAAAGCAACTATAAATCCGACTTGCAGCACACAATTACAAACGTGTAAACCATTTTTAATTATAATTATTTGTTGTAATTTTATATTATGTGCAGCATATTCGTTTAGTTTTAATTTTTTATTTGTATAAATATTTTATTATTATATTATTTTTTTTTAATTTAAATAATAGAATAATAATTTAATAAATAATCGTTTTTTTTTTTTTTAACTACATAAATTGACTATGGTTTATTCGTTTCGTTGGCCGTCGTTCTTGTAGTCCGTCTGTCCGATGATTGTCGTCCAAATGTTGGGATTTAAATGCACATATAGGATCCTGTCTCAAAAAAGTTTAAATGTTTGTTGTTTTGTTATAGCTTGAAAACGCATAATATCCAACAATATGTTTTAGCGTAATATGAATAGAACTGATTTCTGGTTTTTTCTATTTTAGACTATCTGCACGACATGACACGGACCGACGCGACTGTGGTCCAACGATCGGACGACGACTGCGGCGGCCATGTCTTGTCGCAACAGGCCCACGCTCACACCTCCGATCGTCATAAGCATGCCCGCGAAAATGTATACGTTCTCGTTGTCGACCGGTGGCAGCAGGTTCCTTTGGAATATTACCACTGCCGAACAAGAGAATGGTTATAACGACAACGTTGCACACATTTATTTATTTATCATGAGATTAACGCTAACCGGCTTTTGTAGAACGATACACTGCAGTATATACATGTATAAATCAGACGGATAACAGTACAAACTAGATTAGGTAAACGAACGTAACAAAAATTTAACAGAATACATGAGATACGATGCGAATGTAAATCACGGTTGATTGGCCGACCTAAGCGTCCTGTGCACGGGGTGATTATGGCTGAAGGAAGTGGACAGAGTTGGAATGGAAAATGGAACGTGATTACGAACGTTGTGAAAGGGGACTTTAAATTGGATTTTCGACAGTTGATAGAGTTGTCAAGGAGAGCATGAACGAACTGTAAATCAATACGATTGCGGCGTGTGGACGAGTATATTAAGAAAATTGCTAGTATCAGATTAGTTGTGAATAGTCCTTAGCAAGGTATGGGTGTCGAACGACAACCACATATTCTAAAATGGATCTAACAAGAGCAAAATATAAAGAACGGAGACAGGTAGACGACGAAAAACGATTGGTATCACGTTTAATAAAACCTAAAATATTATTATTTTACTACCTTATTAGCTCGACCCGTAACAATATCAATATGACGGTTAAAAGAGAATGGTTATAACACACATAATTGATTGATCGTAATGTGCAGAAATTCTTGGCGACTGCGTATTTATGTCGAACAAATCAAATATTTTATGGAGAAAAAATTGTCTTCGGCTACGGAAAATGTACAAGAGTGAAAACGTCTAAGAAATTGTAACTTTGATGCACACGTACCTACATATAGAGGCTTGAGATATTTTTCAAAGCGAATTCAAGATCTTACGGTTTAATAGTGTACACGTATTCGCACACGTATTTCATTTTCACCGGTCTGGCAATTAATTTTTTGTTCAAACGTAAATCAATAGAACACATTTTCACATATCCGCTATAAGCTAGAAAATACATTCAGCACAGGTGGTGGTCGGAGTTTCATACCATTTTGGTACATGTAATATATAAATTGGATAACCACGACCGTATTAACTCCAATACCACAGATGATTGAAATTCTCTATATTCACTTTATGGTTTAAAAAACAGCATGCGATTTGAATGAGAAGTTCCGGAGATTACCTATGAACTACGAGATGTATATCCATAGCGTATACGAATATATTGTGCATGTCATATGTACGTGTATAAAATACGAAAGAGCGATTTTCACATACATGTAAATACGTACATATATACACGTGCAACGTATTTCATAACTTTTTTACCAAACATTAGTGTACCTACACGGTTGCTACCATTATTCACCGTTACGTGTACTGTACGCCTGTATTAAGTATATATAAACATTTTAACTATACGATTATTATAATATTGCTCTAGTATTTTCAGCTTTAATCAAATTAATCTCGCGTAATCGGTTTCGCGATCTATTGAACTCTTTACCAGTTGAGCAGTTCCATTGATATTTAATAATATCATTGCTAGAAATATATAAATATATATTATTTGCGATTCTCATGGGAAACTTTGAAATAACTCTGAACTTTGTAGGCCATGTCATTTTTTTCCTGGTATCTCAGGGAGGTTTAATCCTACTCCCCCTGCGTTACCACGGAAAATCCTTGAACATTTTAATGGTATTTATTTTTATCCATTAATACTATATTAATACTTTCGTGTATCATAATCAGTAATTATTAAAACCAAAATATTAAACAAAATAAAATATTTTTTAGGTCATCAAAACACGAACAAACGTGTACATCCGACCCAGAGCTCAAAACCGTAACAGATCCTTAAAACATACGATTTTGAAAAAATCTTTTCTATCTCACAAATACATAGGTAAAAAAACGCATATCCTCTTAATTGTAAGTTTTAGCTATAGGTACGCTGGACGGTCAGTGAGTGGTATTTGAAATTCATTTGCGTACACAGATACAATAATATAATATGCATTATTAAGTTATGTTTGTATACACAATGTACACGACAATGTGCACAACATAATAATAAATATATTACACGTATACAACCGTAAATTATTTGGCATCTTACATGCGATCAGAATCCCGAAAAACGAAGACAAAGCTCGAACAACCGAAATGTATCCACGCACGTTGTTCAATTTCTGCAAAGGGAACATTGAATAGATCACTGCATTTTTTAACGACGCGTAATACCCTGGAACGTGAAAAATATTTCAAATTAATCGTCGTCGATGTCACCGCTCACGCTGCAGCTGTACACATTCAAACCATCGACGAATACACTGATGTATACAGTTAAAACTGATAAATTTCAATCCAACAAACGTTTATAATACGTACGGTTATGCATTGTTATTATTTGTGTTCGATGTATAATATTCACGCGAGTGCAAGAATGATAAATTATTGTTGTACGAACAAATATTTATATTAGCGGCTCGTAACGAAGTACCTACATATATATTCAAGTGTTAAACAACTGTGATGCTCTCCTCTAACTATTATGTTTCGTACACTTACCAACTGCGAGTACAGGAAATAATCGTTATAATATAACGTATATATTATTTTATATTACAAAAAAAAAAATGTGCGAACATTTATAATAAATATTTAAAAAATAACATAATCGTGTATTATGAGTAATTATTATGAGATATAGTGTTATCTAGAAATATACATTTTATGTGGAATTCGAGTCATGCATAGATAATGTAGAGAACATTTTTTCATCATAGATACGCATATATTGATAACAATAAATATGAAATGCAAAAGTGAGAACACGCATTCACATTAGTCAAATATTCTACCATGATGGACAACCAAACAAATTTAATCAAAAAAATAACTATGACAGTTTATGTTATGTAATCGTATTGAAAATTTAAAATCACCATACATAGGTTTAATTGGAAGTATTACGATTATTATAACTTTGTTTGAACACAAAAGTTAAAGCAAAAACAATTATTACACTATGTTTTATTGTTGTCAAATTAAAATTCTACTGCATAAAAAACGTTTTTGGATGCTAATAGCCGAGAAGGTTTGCGTAAAAAAATTAACGAATGTAGATAAAATGTAGCATTTTTTTAATTCCAAAGTACGGTAGAAGCCACTCATTAGTAACACGGATACAATCGCGTAACTGAAACACAATGTCTAGGGGCGGATCGGCCGTATATTAAAACATTGTAAATCAATCGGATTATCGAAACAACACGTCGGTTATTTATAACAATAAGGGCCAAGGTCGTTCGAAAAAAATCCGGTTATTTGGCGATCACCAATGTATGGTAAATACAACGTACTTTATTTTATGTCGTTACGATCGAAACCAGTCGAACTCTCGGAAGAAGTGAACGAAGATTGGATCGATATGGACTCACACATTGGATATTGCAGAGGTTCCAGCAGAAGAAGTGATCTGTAATGCGGTTATGAATCCTCGAACAATTCAACATGCCGTCACTGACGACGAAGAAGAAAAAAGCCAGACAGACCCCGTGAAATAAAGAAATTGTAATTCTAAGAGTCCTCGGGAGAGCAGTCGTGCACCGTTCAGATGAAAAGGGCTTTGGGCAACATTCTTTTTACGAAACCAAGATCGTCGAGTTACTCAACGCAAAAACAACGGACAACGATAAACGCATATTTTACCAAGCAAGTACATTTTTTTTTTCACAGTAGATACGTTTTTTTATAATAAATAAAACCAATCGGTTAAACGATACATTTCACCTTGGCCAAAAAGTGTTCCTAATAAGCGGCTTCTACTGTATTTTATCATCGAAAAACAATATACTAATTTTTTAATCGGTTCATTAATATGTTTTAATTTATTCCCTGTTAAAAACACAGTATTAATTTATTTACCAAATACGAATCCAAAAAGTCCAAAGTACGGCAACATCGTGACGAAGCTTCCGGTAGTGCATAGAAATAACGACAGACCGTTGGCTATCAACACTAAGCTAACGTGATACAAGGGTACCACACCGTTCGATGAAGTTTCGTGAAACAAATAGCCGATACTACGGCCAATCAATGAGCCCAGGCATCCAGCGATAAGGATGATCATTGCTTCAGCGGACGTCTTTAGACCTTCTGGACCTGCGCGGGACCAATAAGATATAATGAATATCATTATCAATATATTACGATACATCGAACAACAATGTAACAATGTACAAAATAATACATTTGAATTGTAATGTAATAATGTGTCGAACAACTTTTTTATTCATATAACTGGCAAGTAAGAATATCTACTCACTAATTATTTGAATAGATGTATTCGTGCGTATACGAGTAGGCAGCACTCGTACATCGTTATTTATCCCATACATTATTCTTTAAACGTGATGATATAATATGTTATATGTTTTTACTATTTATTGGAATATTCCGTACAACAACGGGTTTAAAATAAAAACAAAAGATGTTTATTTTTTTTTAACCACGATATATTATATACTTCCATACACATAAACTGGTGTTTTAAACTGTTCGAGTATGCTAATTTTTGATTATACGATAGGTACGCATACCCTTAATGATACGTACAACAAAAATCAGTGTCTGATTTATATAGTAAACACACACACATACACACACAAACACAGACATTTACCTGTTGATATTAAAAAATAAAATAAAACCGTACGTCTGTGTTAATATTGATTCGAAAGAAATAATTAGTAGACTTGCCTTTAATGAAAACGAATGGTAGAAATCGAGACGCATAAATTAGAGCTTCACTGATTAGCAGCAAGACGAATTTCTCGTTGCACCAAATCGACGTGTCGTACATCGACTGCAGTACTCGACGTATGGCTATCGGACACGATATGTTGTGTCGTCCGCATTTTTCTTCGATTAAATCTTCTTTGGTGAAAACCCGAGTCGTTGACATCAGGAACTCGAAGTATTTATTTGACTAAACGGGTAAACGAAATAGAAATAAAATAAAATCTATTGTTGATGGTTATTATTAACAATGCATTATATATATATATATATATATATATATGTGCATTTGTGTTCGTATTAGCAAAACATAGGGAGTTTTTAAATATATTCGGTTGAGAATAGGAAGCGTAGTGATTATGGATACATGCTCACTATTTGTTCCGTAAAACATTGTTGTAAAAAAAATCTGTTGAAAATATTATCTACTACGACCGAGTTGGATAATACCAGAAAAGTGGGTTAGACGGTTCCGGGTGTCCGTCCCTTTTTTAAAATCGTTTATACGATTTATATAGATGTACATTTAATTTAGAATAGTCTGATTCAAATACTCATTATCGTGTCTTTAGATGAACAATATTCTGGATTACTCTAGTTATTTGGACTATCTAAAAAATTTATAAATATGCAATACAGTATTTATTTTTTATTTTTTTTTTTTAGATCGTTTACGGTTCGAATTAAAACATATAACATCTATTATTTAATTATATAAATTCTTATTTATAAAACGGAAAATAACTTATGTTTACGAAGTAAGTATTTTTCTATTTAGATTTATGTTAATCGACGAAGTACATGTATTACAATCGTATTCGATTGAAACGTTTTGATCAAAATAAAAGGTATACAATATAGTTTTAGTTATAACTGTTTCCTGTCCCGTTTCATCGAGAAACCCCGAAGACTAAGGTGAATTTATCGCGTTTACACGCCACATATTGTAAAAGTATGCGTAATATGTACTTTAAGACCCAACACCAATGATCTGACATCGCCGTTGAACAGTATGTCGTCCCTGTACATCGGTCGACTACCCAATGTACGATTTTCAAACATGTTCATAAGATTTCGCATGCATGTTTTCCCCCCTCTTCCTGTTAATCTCGTAAAACATATTCATTTTGCTAACACCTTGCACCACCGGTATCGACGATCGAGTTGCAGTTCGATCGCGCGCCACTGTAGTGTTTTCAGTAAACGGTACCATTTGTAATCTACACGTACAATCGGTCAGTTAAAAACGTTTGTCTGTATAAATAATGGTATATTTATGTTATAATTATGGTTGTATAGTTTATCTAGGCGCATCATGTTTTTTAATATCCAATATATAAATAATTAGATAAACATTTGTATTCACAATAAAAAATGTTATTTTATGCAAATATTTTGTTCATCTATACGTCAACTCTATTAATATGTGAAGGTAAATGTAAATCGCAAACAACTTCGTAGATGTGGAGAGTGCAGAAGGGAGTAAAATTAAGCGAAAGAAGAAATTAATGATTTGGAAGAAGATTATAATCAAAATGGGGTCTAGAAAAGAAGACAATTTTGTGGAAACTAAGGTGAATAAGGGATGGGGATGAGAAGATGGAGGATCTATGTCAGAAGACATAGTTTGGAGAAAAGAAGATCGGTAGTCGGCCTATGCTTTTTTTTTAGGGTTTTGAGAGGAACGGGAAGGAAGTTAGACGTGGGTATTTTTACTGGAGACAAAACGGTTACTATTTTGGCTGAAGTGGTCAGAAGCTGTTTTTGAATTAGATCTGTTATTTCATTACCTTGGATCGCAATATGTCTTGAAACCCAGAGGTATTCAACAATTTTATGGGATAAGATAAGTTTATATGTCAGTGATTTTATCATAAAAAAGGAGGGGTAAATAGAAGAATTGAAGGGGTAGATCCAAGAGAAAATACGCATGATTGGAAATCGTAAACTATTAAACATTTTTGAAAATTTATAAAAAAAAAGAAATTGGCAGGCGTGAACGATGACGTAGACTTCTGCGAAGATTATGTATAAATGAAAATGAACGTACAAATTTCAATTACAAAGAAATTGATTTTTGGAAAGAACAAATTGATGATCCGAACGACCCCTTTCTCCAATCTCGTTCGAATTATCGCGACTCTTACCGTAGTAATAATATATTATTATACCTTTTACTGCCAATTGTTTTCCGTATAGTTGGGAATTGAGAACTAACGGAGAAGTTTTCTGTATTCTGGATTTCTGTTGAAACGGCTCTCGATTGGAACTGCGATACGTCTTCAGTCGATTGCTCTTCGTCAACGGGTTGGATTTTTAACGGCACCGGAGTGACGACAAATAACCAGAAAACCAACGAAGAGCAAATCAAAGCTAAATTTTATACGATAGGTTACATTTTAGTGTATAATGTATATTATGAAAAGTGTATTGCACGTTACACAACGCATTGCGACGAGAACGTAAAATCCGCAAACCGTTTCGATACGTACTCAAATGAAAGTGCAACGCCGACCGCCAGTCGTACGACATCAATAACACGTATTCGGTAAACGGTGGGATTAGCATCATGCCAGAGAAACTTCCTAGATGGCGAGACAAATGAGCATTCTGACGATTGACGAGGAACAGTGAAGATAGCAATACGGAAAACGACGTCTTAATCGCTCCCATTCCTATACCTAGTGAAACGTGTAGACATAGTTCAAAGTTTATAGTTGATTTCATGGTTTGGTAAACGATGTAGTATGTTTCAAATCGTTTATACGTAGGCTTGTCTGTCGAATAGATATGTTTCGGTTCAATGTCGTCATAAATTGAGGCGTTGACATGGAAAAGGTACTAAGTCATAAAAACCAAATTTCACGGGAGAAGGAAAAAAAATCTGCTTTTAGTATTTTTTGAACCTTCTTTTCTAATTTAATTTCTAATTGAATTGTGATAAACCATATTAGACGATAGTTGATAAAAATGTTCGTATCAAAGAAAACTATATTATACATTATTATAACACGTGAGATAATTTAGTACCCTTTTCAGGCCAAACCACAATGACTCACGACTAGCGTCATCTTGTATTCAACGTAATGCCTAATATATAAAAAAATTTGAATGAGTTCCTTTACCATGCCATTGACATATGTATCTAATCCATTTTAAACGAAAAAACGAAAAACTGATTTTTTTTTCGACTTGGTACCTTTCCCATGTCAACGCCTCAATTGTATTCACTATAATGAACACCAATCGGTTAGGTTTAACCGATTGATTGAAATTAAATATTTATTTATTTTTTTTTTTTAAACAATTTCACTTTTTCTTTAAAATGTGACCCGTCACAAAAATTAAACAATGTTTTTTTTTTTGATTCTTGGCTCGGTAATCAGATGAAAGATATTTATAGTGTAGATCGTGTCAGTGCATTTTATAAGAAATTTTCACTGGGCGACAAAAAATGTTTTTTCTCAAAATAGTCAATGTAATACCATAGTACGATTATAGTATTACACGTTTGTTTCGCATTATTTCGTCCAATCATTAAAAATATTCTCGACAGTGTATAATCACTGGGCGACATTTGTGTCACCTAGTTAACTAGTTAACAAATGCACTGGATCGTGTTGAAAAATACATTTGTTACGTGTACACACGACACGCCGACATAATGTACGAGTATTTTTGCATTACCACCGATGATGGCTGACACGAGGCAGTATTCGAAAATAAATATGTTTCCGGTGGAATGCAACAACAATGTAATCCACATGATTGACAATAAGCTTCCGATGAATAAGCAATATCTAAATCCATAGTGGTTGATGCACGCACACGAAAGCGGTTCTGTAAACAAAATTTAATGCGTTTAAATATCACTGAATTCGTGCAATATGCATAAGTCATTGATTGTTATTCCAACATTTTGTTATTTTTTTTGTGTGTATTTTTTTTTATTTTTTTTTGTAATATTTAAATGTTTACAGTTTATTTCTAATTCTAGAGAATAGATGAAATGTTAAATGTCGCGAATTCCGGTGACTGCACGCGGAGTATTAGACGTACGGCCAGATATAGTGTTTTAGACAAAAAAAAAAATAGAAATAATAAAAAATCGTTACCAAGGTTTTACGTTATGATGTTTAGAAGATCCGTGTACAATGTTGACTGAGAACAATGTAACATTTATTAGTGTTATGTAAATAAATTAAACGTTTATTTTTATTATAATGCCCTTATTGTACGTCGTTGGCGCATACGTCACAAAACGAACGAACCGTAATAATAGGAGGAATCGTTGCATTTTATTTTCGTCTACCGTTCGATTTTCTCGGAAACCCGTGCGTTTCTAATATTAGAAAACCGTATGAGCGAAGGGACCGTCATTAAGACACGTATTGGTTTTCCGATCCCCGAAAAACACGAGCGTGCACCTAACGGGATTTCGTTTTACGTTTTTCTCGATCCCCGCGCGATAACCGCCCGTAATGCGTTCACACGTTGACGAGCGAAATCGTCGTAACTTTCGCTCAGGAAGACGAACACCGCGAACGTACGTTCGCGATGGTGATCGGGGGGAGGGGGGGAGAAATCGATCCGAAGGACCGGACCTGGTTATCTTAGGGCGGTAAAAAAAAAAAAAAAAATTAAAAAACAATAAACAACAACAACCGTGTTCCATGGCGTACCGATCAGGTGCCGGAACAGCAGGACCGTGGCCACGTGTTCGAGGGTGCGCGTCCTTGGTGGCACGGACCCGGTCATGCCGACGCGCGCGTCCAGCAACGTCAACGACAGGCAAACGCCGTCGAGGACGAACGAGGCCACGAAGCCCAGCAGCCACGTGATCTTCAGCCAAAACCCTTCGTCCGGCGGGTAGAGCACGACGCACAAGCCGTCGGGGTCGACGGCGTACGGGTCCTGGGCTGGTGTGGCCCGCGGCCGAGACCCGTCGTCGTTCGTCTCCGTTACCAACGGCCGCACCATTGATTGCATCGATTGCGACCACTCGAGACGACCGCGTACTCGCGGAACGGAATTAAAACGATAAATCTCTCTCCCCCTTCACTCTCGCTCGCCCTATGCCCGTGCCCGCTGAAACATTGTATTGCCGTCGCAGCGAATCTCGCGTTTTCATATTATTACGTAATAAAAACAATAATAATAAGCATTTCCATGGTTTTGACCCGGTAGGAATTGAAAGAAAAAAACCGACGTCCTCTCTTCCGAATTCCCTTTTACTGGCAATTCGCACTGTCGTTTTCAGATAATTAACTTGCGATCTTCTCTAAATAAAAAGAAGAAAAAAACATACCCCCGGGTCACCGGTCCCGCAGAACTTCAATTTTTTTATTTTTTTATTATTTTTTTTTTTTTTTATCGCTGTTATTTTATTGTTTTTATCGTTTGCCAACTGCTCAGCACAAAGTTTTTGAACGCCAACACAATGCCAAAGGTACGCGTACACAATATACGTGTTTAATTCTAACGCGGTGAGAGTTGAGCGCGCGACGTTCGAACTCGAACGGAAAATAAACCGAACAAATACGAAATTTTAATAAGGTTACGAGTGTTAACCTTTATCTCGTTCCGGGAAATCGCTTTGCTGCAAAAGGATACACAATATAATAATATAATGTTACAATGATACATGAATAATAACAATCGGGTAAGCACCAACAGCATTATCTAATCTATGCGCACACTCTTAGAGGTATAATATTGATGTACATTGTAGACCGCTTGCGTAGGTACATTGTACGTTGTGCATAATACCTGCATATAGATACGTTGCAGATGATTATACTGACAAGTGTTATGGTTTTCGACGAGTGTTGCGACGGAAAATCTTCGTACTGTTGTTGCAATAATGTAACAGTGAACGTGCGGGTAAGACAATACTAAAACATAAAACAATAATAATATAATAGCAATTATGATAACGATCGTGCAATACATTTTGTCGTGTACGAATATATTGTAAAAAAAAAAAAAAAAAAAAAAAACCTGCGATAATTAACGGTTGATAAGTTTTAAATTAGACGTATCACATTTTTGATTTGAAACGAGCTCGTTAAATTTTTAAACGTGATCGGTGCACACGGGACACGGTGTGTTTCAGCAAAAGACGTACGAAAACCAATACGGAATTTATGGTCGTATAAATAATATAACGTTCGTATGCGCACGCAGAAGTAATAATAAATCATGTATTGTTCGTGTACACGCGTAGTATGCTACTCATAACCGATTCGGTTATAGAGTAGATACATGATAAAAAATATTTGCTATCAAAGTTTGAGATTTGTGTGGGTACACCTCTACTGTGAATTTGTTTTCCTTTCGAAATATTCACAAGCACTAGAGTTTAATTAATTTTTTCATCGTACACTCTTGAAATGCTTGATTTATCTTACCCAAGTGTATATATGTATGATTATATTCTTTTGCATCTTTCTTGCGATCATTAAACATTGTACATTTAAAAACACCCTTTCACTGCTATTCTATCTGTTTGAACATCTTTTTACCACTGTGTACGTCCTAAATACTTTCCACCTTCCCTCGAGCTTTTCTTTACCGTGTTGAATACATCTGAACCATCTTATCAGTCGTCGCTTCCCCCTTACGTTTTATTTACATTTCAAGCCTCTCCAGTAAGCACTTTCAACCATTTTACATAATACGCGCCTAATCACATTACGCTACTATACACATTCGTATCGTTGCCATGCTATAAACATCTCTCTGTCGAAACTTATGTTACACACTGACCCTCGTGTAATACCTTATATACATTGTTGGCTGTAGAGGCGCTTCCGTGAAATTTCTATTTTATACACCTACACGCAACAGCTTCGTCATTGATAACCCAAATCTTCAGGGACGACGAACTCCCAAACACCTCGGTATATAACTATCATATTATAAAAGTACTGTCTGGAAAGACTATTGACCGTTAGAAATGTATTTGCTCCAAAACGATGTGTGTTGATTTAAGTAGGTTTCTATTACATCGGAACGAAATCGATAAATAGTTTTAATAGAAAATGAAATTTAACTCTAGGTAACAAATAAAAAATGTGAAAACGAGCAATCAAATGAATCAACCTTTTTATAATGACTAACCTCATAGTGTTTTTTTTTATAAATTTAAACTAAAAAGTATATGTGTTCATTTATTTTATCTTGCATGTAGGTACAGGTAAATTGTAAATAAAAAATTATTATCTTTGTAAATTTGACGCAGTATATGTTATGTGTAAAGAATGGGGTTTTCAAGTGGATTCCAACTAAAATGAACAAAAATGTTGGCTATAGCTATTTTGACCGATTTGCATACAGGAAAAGACTCGAATGGCTAGAACACGTATGTAGGATAGTTGACCAAATATGTTGGTTGCAGAAATTAGAGTAAAACACTTCTAGACAGACTAAGAACAAGGGTGAGGTAGTTTGTCATGAAAGACTTAAAATCACTTCAAAATAGAGCCCAGACAGATATGGCGTACGATAAAGTATAACGGAAAAAGTTTTTGATGGCAACGTTTGACCTCGATGGCTCATGATGGCAATGGTATATGATAACGATGATTATATATTTCTGTTAATTTTTTAAAATGTTAAATATTTTTTTCGCCCAAATTTCCCTATGTTTTTTATGACCACGTTCATTTTAAAGGACATTTGTCCCACTATTCGTATTCGGACGATCACTACGTCGGTTATTACGGCCGTGGTCACGAGTTCGTTAACCGAAAACACCTGTCGATATGACAAACACGCATATACGCATTCGCGAGGAACGGAGCACTCTCTCTCTCTTTCTCTCTACATATATCAATGCAATCTAATATAATTGCCGACAATAAAATAACGATGTAAATAATATGCGTTACAGACGTATAAAATAAATTCGTTCAGCGGCGTACGGTACATAAAAATACAGGACCGTAATAAACGCTGGCGTTCGCACAGGAGAGGCGTACCTTATACCTTCAAAGCACTCGCGTATCGTAGTAGTTATACCGGAGGATTTCGGTATTTTTACGAGCGCCCGTGCAGGGTACACCAGTTGTAATAGTATGTGTACACAGTCTTGTGCTGTCGCGGCATGGCGTGGGGTGGATTTTTCGACCACCTCCCGCCGGACTACCAGGAACGACAAGACGGCGGCGCCGTACGTTCATATACAGTCCCCCGAGACTGTGGGCCGACACTCAATACCGCATTATGTTATTATAAAATATTATTATTTTACGTCGATATATAAATATAACGTACCATTATATGTTCTGCACACATGCACGTAAATATTTTTAAGTGCATTTGTAACACTGGGGAACGAACTACACGGTGTAACAATAGCGAAGATATGCGATTCTTCGATCTCGTTTTATTTACTTTTTTTTTTTTTGTTTCGCGCAAATCAGTACACGAGTATACATAGAGGACGAATCCAACATTTACCACTACGGTTCAATAATTGCTGTATGACGGTTATGTTTGCTATGGTTACTGTGGCTGAAGGCTAAACGCGATTGTTAAATTATTATTATTTTATTTTTTTTTTTAACACTAAACGTTTCAGTAAATCATTAACTATTTTGATGTCCTTGTGAAAATGTTGACCGTCAACTTTTTGATTTCATATATTTGCATTCGTACTTTTGGTACAACAAATGTTTCAATTTTTAAATATGACCAACATTCATAATCAGTATAATTGAGGTTTCGCTATCGGACGACGTTGCTTATCACCGACTTTATTTCCACGCGTAAACTTCCGTCTAATTGCAATATTTTCTACGGATTAAATGAAATACTGTAAATAATTAAGAAGATGAAGCGTAAGGAAAAATCATATGCGATCCTCGAGGATCGAAAATAGAAAATTAAATATCTAGTTATTTCCGTATGAGCACAACCGCACGGGAGGCAATCCGAACGAGCAGTACGTACCGCGTGAACACGTAACGTTTACGTGCGTTCGACGTGCACGGGTTAGGTCAGAGCATATTTTAACGAGTACGTGGGCACTAGTGCCGCCTCCCCAGTGATAACCGAATGCTACCCGGCGGTGGGTGCCAGTAACCAACAAACTCTCGTGACGGCCGTAGTGTACGGTCCGCCGCAGAAGAACACCACGTCCAAGAACCGCGGTGGCAGACGATTTTATCGAAGTGCCACACCTGGCGAAAATCACTTGAAACACGGTTCCGGCCGCACATGTAAGGGGTAAGAAAGGGGTCCTTCACGGCGGACACGCGCGGAAATGACGCAGTCGAGTGCGCGTTCCTCCGTCGGCTCGCGCGTCGCGTGTACCGGCGCGCGTGGACATTGTACGCGCCGTACATATTGTTAGGTACACTGCAAATTGTTCATTGTTGTTGCGGTATTATTATACCATCGGTCGAGAGGCGATAGACGACGGGTCCGATGTTTTCCGAACGAGCACATGTACAAGGGACCCGGGGGTGCGGCGCGTGGCCGTCGGAGTAGGGCTTTTCCGGTGCGATTTTGCAACGGCGCGCGCATTGTTTTACACTCCTCCGACGGACCGGTACTACGTGCTCGTCGGATGATATCGCGCGCGCGCGAGGGGTATTGTACCATCGTAACGATTCTTATTGTGTTTTCGACGTACAACGATATTTTGTTTGCACGGCAAAATGAAAAATGAAAAACAAACAAACAAAAAAAAAAAAAAAACACTCAACGACACGACAAACAACAACAACAAAACAGCCACCGCTAACCACGGTAATAGTTATAATAGTGTACAATACATTATAATGCATAGAAGCAACGCGCGCGCCCGTACAACCCCGTCGGATTGTGAAATTGTTACGTCGTCGCCTTATCGACGTTGTGATCGCTAACTTTCGGCGGCCAGATGCAATGCTCCGTAGACTTGTTTTTTTTTTAACAATCCGAGACGTTTGGACGTCAAAACGTACACATTATAATTTCGTGTCAAACGGTTCGGAATCGCGGAAGAACAACTGTATTATCGTTTTTACGTGGGATTTCCCAAAATAGTTCTGT